GCCTTCGGTGGAGCTCCCTATGGGGCCACGAAACGTGTGAGGGGTGTGCCGAAATGGGTGTGCGGGACGCATGCGGGACGGCAGCACTGGGGCCTTCGGTGGAGCTCCCTATGGGGCCACGAAACGTGTGAGGGGTGTGCCGAAATGGGTGTGCGGGACGCATGCGGCGGCAGCACTGGGGCCTTCGGTGGAGCTCCCTATGGGGCCACGAAACGTGTGAGGGGTGTGCCGAAATGGGTGTGCGGGACGCATGCGGGCGGCAGCACTGGGGCCTTCGGTGGAGCTCCCTATGGGGCCACGAAACGTGTGAGGGGTGTGCCGAATTGGGTGTGCGGGACGCATGCGGGCGGCAGCACTGGGGCCTTCGGTGGAGCTCCCTATGGGGCCACGAAACGTGTGAGGGGTGTGCCTTCTGGGGCGGTGGAGCGGCTAGCCACGGAACGGTGGAGCTGGGGCCACGAAGCGTGTGGGGTGTGCCGAATTGGGTGTGCGTGACGCATGCGGGCGGCAGCACTGGGGCCTTCGGTGGAGCTCCCTATGGGGCCACGAAACGTGTGAGGGGTGTGCCGAATTGGGTGTGCGTGACGCATGCGGGCGGCAGCACTGGGGCCTTCAGTGGAGCTCCCTATAGGGCCACGAAACGTGTGAGGGGTGTGCCGAACTAGGTGTGCGTGACGCATGCGGGCGGCAGCACTGGGGCCTTCGGTGGAGCTCCCTATGGGGCCACGAAGCGTGTGAGGGGTGTGCCGAATTGGGTGTGCGTGACGCATGCAGGCGGCAGCACTGGGGCCTTCGGTGGAGCTCCCTATGGGGTCACGAAACGTGTGAGGGGTGTGCCGAAATGGGTGCGGTGGTGATGGTGATGATTGCAGCGATGATGATGATGACGATGATGATGATGACGATGTTGGTGGTGATGATGGTCGTGAGGATTATGACGATGATGGTGATGACGGTGATGATGACGACGATGATGATGATGATGATGAAGATGGGAGGAGGGAGGGGGCAGCGGGAGGAAGGAAGGATAACGCGGGGCACCGTCTCTTCAAAACGAGGACCCAACACCACAGGATGGTTGGGAAAAAAGAGGACGAGAAAGCTATACACAGACATAGAGAGAGAGAGAGAGAGAGAGAGAGGGAACGAGACATATATATATACACACAAATGTATATATATATATATATACATATATATATATATACATACACACAATGAGAGAACGCGTTGCACGGGCGCTTGCCTTGGGAACATTCGGCGGCGCGTTTCAAACCGGGGGGTGGCCCCACCCCCCCAACACTCGGCGCCGTCGATCAAAACCAGGGGGACCCCCCTCCCCCCCAAACCCCCCCCTCCCGAACCGCACCCCCCCCCCTCGGCGCCGGCGCTGGCGGCCGCCAGCAGTGCCCGCGGCGGGGACGCAGCGACGATGACCACATGCAGCTCAGGGGGGGGGGAGGGGCGTTTCAACCCCCCCCCCCCGGGCGCCAGGGGGGGGGGGGTTTCAACCCCCCCCCCTCGCGCTAGCGCTGGCGCTGGCGGCGGCCAGCAGCGCCGGCGCTGGCGCCGGCGACGGCGGGGACGCAGTGACGATTACCACCACTACCACCACCACCACCACCACTACCGCCACCACCACCGCCTAGACCCACCATCACAACCACCACCACCACACAACCACCACCACTACCACAGCCACCACCACCACCACAACCACCACCACAACTCACCATCACCACCACCACCACCACCACCACCACCACCACCACAAAAACCCACCACCACTACCACCACCACCACAATCTACCACACCACCACCCCCACCGCCACAACCACTACCAGCAGCACAACCCACGGCCACCACTACAAACCACCACACCACCACCACCATCGCCACCACCACCACCACAACAAACGTCCACAAACCACCGCCACCACCACAACCCACTACCACCACCATCACAAAC